TGCACCACTTCTCTCAAAGTAGGGCGTGTGGCTCGGAGCTTCCGGTAATGGAAGTCGGCTGAGAGCAAGGTCGAATGAACCTCCTTCCCAGGAAGGTATTGCAATTACTAATGATAGACAGCGAGTAGAAGAGCCCAGCGAAGCCTACGGGCGATGCCATTTGGGATATCGTTTTAGATTCATCCAGAATTCTGCCCGAATAGGTATCGGTGAAATCGCAAACTCCCAAAACGACCGCCAAACCCTCCTTCTCAAGTTGAGCGTAATTTCGTTCGGTCCGAGAGGCAAATGCAACTGGTTTGTTCACTCCGTACAGTGACGCATCATACCTCAGCGTCATGTATTTTTCGGGGTCATGGTGGGCCAAAACCGGTGGACTGGACAATGCACATTTAGCTTGACGAAAAGCCAATCCCTCCGTCTCAGCCTACACGCAATGAGTGCCCTTGCATAACAAACGATGCAACGGGTGCAAAATTGTGGCTGATTGCCGAACAGACCTTGAGTAGTGATTGTATATTCCAAAGAACAACTTCAACTCTTGTTAGTTTCTTTGCTGTGGTGCCTCTAGGATAGGCAGGATTATCTCCTCAATCGTCTTCAGTCCCTCAGCACTTATATGGAAACCCAAATAATCAACGTGGGGAGCCAAGAATACGCATTTTTCACGTTTCAGCCTTAAACCATTGCATTTCAGACAGTCCAGAACAGCTCGCAGTTTGTAGAGGCTCGTCAATTGTCGCCCCCGTAAACAAAATGTCGTCTAGGTATACGAAAGCTTTAGGCAACCCTGTTATGATGTTCTCTATTGTTCGCTAGAAAATGGCTGGGGCCGAATGTATGCCAAATGGTAGCCGGTTGTACCTGAACAAACCACGATGGGTACTGATCATCCATATTGTTTTGACGTCTTCGTGTAGTTCGAGCTGCTGATAAGCGTGCATGAGATCCAAGGTTGAGGAATACCTACTGGTACCGAGCAGCGCGTAAAAGTCCTCACTTTTCGGGAGTGGGTGTTTTTCAGCCAGAATATTGCAATTAACAGTAATTTTGTAGTCCCCACATATACTAATCTATCCATCAGGCTTGTGTACCGGAACAATTGGGATAGCCCAATCCGAAAATTGTACTGGATCTATGACGCTGCTGTTCTGCAGGTGATTAAGTTCCTCTTCTACCTTCAAAAGCATCATTTACAGCAGCGATTGAGCGTTGAGGAATCGTGGTTGTGTGTCAGGTGGAATGTAGATATTAACTAGTCCCCCGGTGAAATTTACTTCCTACGGCTTCTTAAATATTGGTGCATATTTCTGGAACAGTGCTTTTATCTCCGATGGTACAGAAAGGTGGTTTATCTGCAGAACTGAAAGCTGGTAAATCCAGTCTCGTCCCAGTAGTTTTGGGCCATCTCCGAGCACGATGTAAATGGTCCCTCGGGTTGTCGATCCTCCATATGACACCTCAACGTCCTGCACCCCCAGCAGTTTCATTTCACCGCATGTGTATGTACGGAATCGCAGAGGCGCCCGACGTATTCTAGTGTGGCTCGTTGGAGCCAATCTTTGAGATCAAGTTCGTTCGTCGTACAGCCTTACTGCACTGCACGTGTCACTTTCAAAATACACCGGAATCTGGTTAACACAAAGCTGCACGCGAAATGGTGGCTGTGCACTTGGGGTAGTTGTGTTAAATATATATTCCTGTGGTTCAGTAGCAACAAGTTGGGTGTTTACTACCCGGGAAGATGGGTTTGTACTGGACCAACACATCCGGTCCAAGTGTCCACCTTTTTGGCATGTTACAAACTGTCTGTTTGCATTCTCTGGTACGACTGTGCCGCAAGCCGCAGCGATAACAGTCGAATGGATACGTGGTGTTTTTATCAACTTTGTTAGCTTCGGTCGTGACATTTTCAGCATGTCTTCGAATCGAGCTGTAGATTCTGTAGTAGCTGGGCATTAATTTCAACAGCCTCTATGCCCCTCACAACATCATAGGCACTTTCCAATGTCAATGAGTTATCATAAAACAGCAGCGCTAAATGCGAACGTTTTTCACGCCGACCACCAGATGATCCCGGATCATGTCGTTTCGGTAGTTACCGAAATCACAATATTTTGTCAACTTCCGAACCATCATTCATTATACACGTCTGCTATGGGTGGGAAACATCTCAGCTACTGTGTCGCAATACATAAAGAAAAAAGGAAAATAAATACAAAAGTTGCATACCAGCTGAGCTACCAGCAACGGATAGGCATCGTTCCGGTAAGCTACCAGCCGGCCACTAGGCAAAAAGAAAAAAATTTGTTATCTTTTACCCTACGAAATGAGATCGTAGATGGAAGGGGAGGCGAAAAGGGATGGGGAGGGACAAAGAAACTCACAGCACAAACGCCACTGAGGTCGGCTCCTTGCCATGTCAGCAAGTGTATCCAGCCAAACGTGTTCACCGTCTTTTGGACCCCAACCAGGAGCCGTGACGCTCCAACCGAAGCCAGCTCCGAAGTGAGGGCCATCATTCCTCTTGACCAAATCATCGCTTGGCCACCCCTCCTCTTCTTCCATTCACATCCCCGGGGAGCAAACAACGCACGTCGTGGAAGTCGGTGTGCTGGCATGCGCAACACGTGGCCCAGCGATCGGAGTCTGGTACGTGAAATGACGGTGCTGAGCGGTTCAGTTCCTTTTTCTGTGCCGTAAACAAGGCGTCGAACACGCTCGTTACTCACGCGGTGTTCCAACCAGATGTGAGCCAAACTGCGAAGGCACCGATGGTTGAACATAACTGGTCTCTTTAGGTCTGCTGATATTAGGGGCCATGTTTCGCAATCTTACAGTAGGGTCGAAAGTACCGCTGCATTGTACCCTCTACCCTTCAGGGCAAGAGTGATGTCACGCCACCGTCATAGGTGGCGAAGCTTAGCAAAAGCACTTCGGGCTTTTGCTATACGGTTCGTGATCTCGTCTTCGATCCCAAGGGGGCTGACACAACTTTCCATGTAGTTGAATTTTCGAACGACTTGTAGCTGATCCCCACCAAGGGTCAGCGCAGGAGGCTATCCCTGCCAATCTTGGAGGAACGCTTTGCATTTCGATGGTACAAAGCAAAGCCCGAAGCGGCTGACAGCCAGTGCTAATCAGTCCAGCGCGGCTTGGCACGTATGGGAGCTGTCTCAGATGAGGGCAATGTCGTCTGCATACTCCAAGTCAAGAAATCATTCTCTTGCTAGTAGCTCCACACCTTCCAAGTCATGTTCTGTAAATGCAATCTCCATGACTTCGTCGATAGCGAAGTTGAAAAGGAAAGGTGACAGCGGGCATCCTTGTCTCACACCGCTGGAGATACTGAGGGGTGCCGACAGCTTGCCGTAAGCCCTCACTCTGTCCGTGTTACGCGAGTATTATACGCGGATAATATTTACATGTTTCTCGGGCACACCTATCCTGAGTAAACAATTCCCAAGGTCACATTGATCAAGCGAATCGAAGGCATCTTTGATGTCGAGGAACACGACTAGAGTGAGACACCAATATGTGTGACGGTGCTCCAACAACTGACGCGAGGTGAAGATGTGGTCGATGCAGCCACGACCCCGATGAAACCCGGCTTGCTCCTCACGAATCTGGCTTCCACGAGCGCCAGTCAGTCTGTGAAGGATTATGGAAGCGAGTAATTTGGAGGCGATGGAGATCAGATTGATTACTGTATGGCTGCCGCATTCCAAACGCGAGCCTCTTTTGAAGATGGGAACAATAACTTAGCGGCCGCAGTCGGTTGGGACAGTCTCCTGCTCCCACAGTTTCACTAGTAACTCATGTAAAGCATCAACAAGAGCAGAGCATCCGAAACCTTCCGAAGCTCCGCAACGAAGGAAGCAACTGACTCTTCCTCACCCTGGACTCCAGAATTGTATGTAAAGCACTGCACAAAAACTGATGGTTTTGGATTATAGTGATTGGAAACCGGTGGGCCAGTTCAGTGAATTGTTTGGTGCGTGGCAAATCGGGAGTCAAAAAGATGTGAAGTAACTTGGATGTTTTTGAGCCACAGATACTCAGTAGGATACCCAGATTACTGTTGTTGCTGATGCTTTCGTTAGCTGCGAAAAAACAGTTTATCAGCTCGATGTAATTATTCCAGGAACCTGGTCCCTCAGTATACTCTTCCAATTTTCCGATGGAATCCATGGGTTTGATAAGCCAGGGCCAGTACTGTAAGAACATAGAAACGCAAAGGACACAGCTGTAATGTGTACACACGACCAAGTCGCTGGTTCGCTTGATATTGGTTGGCGGCAACCGGTTTCGGATTTGACTGTCACTGTGGCCAGCCACAGGACGTCTGCACCTTCAGAGGGACCATGGGTGGCTTGCACTGCACCACCCACAGCTCCAAACACACTCCATATCCAGTGTCAACCCGAAGTAATAAGACCGGGAGGCATGTGGATGGGAGCCATGTTTCATCAACGGAGCCGGCCCACATTCCTTCACAGGCAAACACAAGCACGCTGTAGTTGGCAATCAAGCGCACACAAGGCGGTAGCTGGGCCGTAGTCCGCTCCACACCGAGTGCATGGAATCACACTTCGAGCCTAACACGACCAGAAGGACCGTGCATCCCGTTCCCTACAGCAACGACCAACGGTCTCCTAGAGCCAGTATGAACGAGGTGGTTGTGATGGGAGTATACACTCGAACGAACGTGCGGTGCCAACCCAGCAAGGAAGCCGTTAGGCTGCCGCAAGGAAAGGCGGCAGCTGATAGGACGTTCACACGTTTCTCGCATGCACGCTGATTGGCCAACAGTTGAACGCATTGGAGTGAGTTTGTTTGACTGAATCAAAGGAAAAATGTCATGCAATCACAAAGGTCGTTAAATATGGATCCAACTAGCTGTATATACCGATATGTTTCACTCGCCCTCTGCCTGCGTTTTCGCCTGGTCCTTTTGTTTGCAGAATATACGTTTTGTCCCTGAAGGACCGACTTTTTACATGGTGTCAGAGAAGGAGAAGAAAATTAGTACCACCCAGACGATGATTGGATCTGCACCGGCTATTCAAATGCCTGCCCCACTGAACATGGATGAACGTAGTTTGGCAAGCAACTGGCGTTTGTGGAAGAGCAAATGGATGGATTTCTGCGCTTTATCGCATCTGGACAAACAACCGATGGCGTACCGCTTGGCCATGTTTCGACACGCAGCAGGAGATGATGCGCACCGCGTGCTAGAGACATTGTGTTACGACAAGAGCGAAGATGCCAACAATCTGGAGACAGTTCTTGAGAAGTTCAGTGAATACTGCGAAGGCCAAACAAACGATACATTTCAACGCTACCTCTTCTTTTCGCGGAACAGGCGGCCAGGTGCATCCGTTGACACGTACGTCACTGAGCTAAAGATTTTGGCCCGATCCTGCAGTTTCTGTAAATGCGTGGCGGACAGTCTCATACGGGACCGCATTGTTCTTGGGATCAATGACGAAGGTTTGACGAAGCGACTATTACGAAAGCGCAACCTATCTCTGCAGCAATGTATCGACATCTGTAACAGTGAGTCCTCCACTGCCTATCAGTTCCAGCAGATGACAATCACAGGTGATTCAGAGTTGTGCGCCGTTTCCAGGAGCAAAACTACGAGGGCCACGACCGTGCGACAGGAGCCCTGCAACTTCTGTGCAACACGACATCCGAGGAACCGCGAACAGTGTCCGGCGTGGGGCCGCATTTGTGTCAAAGGTGGGAAGCGCAATCACTTCGCCCGCTGCTGTCAGTCGACAGATGTCAGTGCACTCGTTCCAGACAAATCAACAGAAGACACCGAACAATCGATTGGTAACGTGTCTCGGAAAGCGTCGCAGAAGTGTGTCTATGCAAGTCTTCTGATTGAGGGACGGTCTGTGCGATTCCAGTTAGACACAGGCGCGACGATCAATATTTTGCCAAGAAAGCACTGCCGCGGCGTGCAAATTCAATCGGATCAAGATTATTTGCGCATGTGGAATGGTTCCAGACTCAAGCCAAAGGGCTCAGCGACAATTGAAGTGGTCAATCCGAGAGACATTGTTTCGCATCGTCTGCAGTTCGTGATCGTGGATGAGGATCTCACGCCGATTCTCGGCATTGATTCGATTTTATCGCTTGGCTTTGTCATTTTTAACCATGATCGTTTTGTGTACGCTTGTCAGAGTTAAGCCGATGTTAGTGACCTGTATCCGTCTGTGTTTAGCCCGGGTTTAGGGGAAGTCGAGGGTATCGCTCACCTGTCGTTAGATCCTTTGGTACGCCTGATTGCGTTACCTGCTAGGAGAGTCCCATTTGCGCTACGTGACCGATTTTCCGCGGAATTGAACAAGCTGGTTCTGCAGGGTGTGATTGCAAAGGTTGATGAGCCAACAGACTGGGTTAGCCAGGTCGCAATCATTACGCAGAAAAATGGCGAACTACGCGTATGTATAGACCCGAAGCCACTGAATGAGGCCCTGCGTAGAGAACATTATGCGCTACCGACGTTAGAAGATGTTTTACCACGTTTGACAAAAGCTAAGTTTTTCACGAAAGTAGACCTTTCTCCCGCATTCTGACACGTTGTTCTAGACGACGAATCCAATTTCCTCACCACATTTGCTACACCGTTCGGACGTTATCGTTGGCTGCGATTACCGTTTGGCCTGAAGGTGTCTAGCGAAATTTTCCAAAAGCGTTTGGTACAAGCAATAGATGATTTAGATGGCGTAACCTGTGTGGCAGATGACGTTCTGATTTACGGTTCTACCGAAGAAGAGCATGACACTAAGCTACACCGGTTCCTGAGGCGTTGCGTGCAAAAGAACATCAAGCTAAAACGCGAGAAAGTAGAGCTGCGGAAAGAGGAGGTGATTTTCCATGGGCATGTGTTAACATCCGACGGAATCAGGGTTGACCCAGGGAAGATTAAGGCGATACAAGAGATGCCGTCCCCTAACGATGTGAAGGCAGTCCATCGCCTAAACGCTATGGTGAATTATTTAAGCCGTTTCCTACCAGGACTCGCTGATGTCATGACTCCGATTAGGCAGTTAACTCACAAAGGAGTAAATTGGAGCTGGGGGAAGGAACAGGATTTGGCTTTCGAAACCAGTAAGAATCTTATCAGTAATGCGCCCGTACTCGGATATTACGATCCAGCACAACCATTGGAGGTACAGTGTGATAGTAGCCAGAGTAGAATAGGTGCTGTTCTGTTGCAGAACGGAAGACCTTTGGATTTCCGCAGTCGAGCACTCACAGAGGCCGAGAAGCGGTACGCACAGATCGAGAAAGAGATGCTGGCAGTGGTCTATGCCATGGAGCGTTTCAATGATTATACTTTTGGAAGAAAGACAACCGTGTACACTGATCATAAGCCGCTGGTGTCGATAGCCACTAAACCACTGAATAACGTTCCTCGCCGTCTGCAGCGTACGCTTATCCGGCTCCAAAAGTATGACATTGACATTGTGTACACACCTGGCACACAGATGTTCATCGCGGACACCCTGTCGAGAGCACATCCGCCAGTGGCCGAACATCATCTAGAAGAGATCGAGACAGTTAGCATGGTGCAGCATCTGGCAGTGACAGAAAACCGTTTGCAAGACATAAGGCGTTTCACGGAGGAAGACCAAACTTTGCAGCTTTGCGAGACGTTATCCTCAATGGGTGGCCAGAAACAAAGAAGCAGCTCCTGAAGGAATTAACACCCTACTTCAATTTTCGGGCCGAACGCACTGTCTGTGACGGTCTGTTGTTTAAGGGAAGTCGAATCCTAATCCCTTCTTCTCTCCGAAAGGAGATGCTGGAGCATGTCCATCGCGCTCACCTGGGTGCAAATTACACCATTAATCGAGCAAGAGAACTGATGTTCTGGCCAGGAATGACAGATCAGATCAAGGATCATGTGTCTAACTGTGAGGCGTGCCGTTCACACGACATTCGGCAAACGAATGAACCGATGATGCTGCATGATGTTCCGGACCGACCGTGGCAAAAGGTAGCAGTGGATCTATTCTGGGACAACGGAAAGGATTAATTACTCACGGTGGACTACTATAGTGATTACTTTGAAATCGATTTACTCACCACCACGACCACGGAGGCAATAATCAACAAATAAATGTCAATTCGCACGGCACGGGATACCGGAGGAGCTAGTCTCGGACAACGGTCCCCAGTTCAGCAGCAGGGCATTCCAGGTTTTCGCAACCAAATGGGAATTCGCACACCGGCAAACCAGTCCCTATCACAGTCAATCAAATGGGAAGGCAGAGTCGGCAGTGAAGCAAGCCAAGCGACTATTATCGAAGGCTAGAGATACTCGGGAGGACCCATACCTCAGGCTACTGGAGAGTCGCAACACTCCTTCAACGGATATCGGCCTGAGCCCAGTGCGGCGCCTATACAGTCGAAGGACCAGAACCGTGATGCCTGCATCCGCAACACTTCTGCACCCTGTCACGCCACAACTTGAGAAAGTACAGAACCGTTTGAAAAGGCGAATGGCTACTCAGAAACGGTACTATGACAACGGCGCACGGGAAATACCTGAGCTGACAGTGGGGGAAGAAGTATGGGTTGGACCAGTTCCCGATGCACAGGAGCGGTGGAGAAAAGGAGTCGTGGCTGCGAAAGTCGGTGAAAGGTCATACGAAGTAAATGTTGGAGGGAAGAAGCTGAGAAGAAACCGAGTACAGCTGAGGAGATGTCCGAGGCGACAGCATGAATCAGGGAGAGAGCGTTATACTGCGTGCGGCAATGAGGCGACATCGGCAGATCCAACAAAGAGGACGCGGAGTGGTAAAGTGTATGGACTATTTAGCAAAGTACAGCAGCAAGAACATGAAAAAAGGGAGGATGTGATGGGAGTATATACTCGAACGAACGTGCGGTGCCAACCCAGCAAGGAAGCCGTTAGGCTGCCGCAAGGAAAGGCGACAGCTGATAGGACGTTCACACGTTTCTCGCATACACGCTGATTGGCCAACAGTTGAACGCATTGGAGTGAGTTTGTTTGAGTGAATCAAAGGAAAAATGTCATGCAATCACAAAGGTCGTTAAATATGGATCCAACTAGCTGTATATACCGATATGTTTCACTCGCCCTCTGCCTGCGTTTTCGCCTGGTCCTTTTGTTTGCAGAATATACGTTTTGTCCCTGAAGGACCGACTTTTTACAGTAGTGGGTAATAGACAGGTAGGCACCTTGTCAACATGCACATCAAGCGCAGCCATTCACATGAAACGACAAGATGAAATAAACTAAATCGGATAATGCATACAGATATGGCGGCATAACTCTTCACTAAATAAGCGCATAAAATAAATTGGTTACGAACGAATTCGCGTTAAGTTAAAGAGGTCAGATATATCTTAGGGAAATGCCAAAAAAGCGAAAATGTTATCGAAATTAACTACAATTAGCTTCAGTGACGTGTGCAAGTTTAGAGGTAGCACAGGTAGGTAATAATACGCGAAAGCAAAACATAAGGACAAAATTGCAAACCCACCACGTGAAATAAATAGACTTAGTATGCAAGCACGCGGTTAGTAAATCGAATGCAGCGTACCTACAAACACTGCGCCGGTTCTGTCTACGTTCTCAGCAGGACCCGTCATCGCTTCGGTGCTGGTCCCGAGTGGCCTCGCTCATGGCTCACTAGGCCTGCCTGACTCAGGCACGCGCGACCGCATGTCCTACAGCACCATGCGCTCGATGTTGATGAAGTACAACCCATCGGCACTTGCCGTTTCCACACTTGCCGCTTCTTCTCCGCATGCATGAGTCTCTCACCCGCACTTCGGCAACCACCTTCGTGATCAGCTCGCGCCGTGCACGCCGATCAACCGCCTTCGATTCCCATGACCTGCAATCAAAATTAGAACGTGAAAGGCTCACTTTGATCATGTCCTGGTAAGCAAGCTTCGGTTTCCTCATACATTCCAAACACTCAGCTGACCATATAATGTTTCGTTATCCGCGTCGAATCCATACGGCTCACATGACCGAGCCACCTCAGGTGTCTCAGCATGAGTATGCAGTCTACTGCATACATTCCACTTTGACGCAACACTTCCGTGTCCGTAACTCTGTCGCACCATCCGATGCGCAGAATCCGCCGCAAACACTGTTGATGGAACGGCCCGAGATATCGCACATCCCGCCCGTACATCATCCCCGTTTCACTGCCATATAGAAGAACGGACAGCACCATGGATTTGTACACCATCAACCTCGTGCCAATATTAAGATGATGGTGGTTCCACAGTATTCTAGCTTCCCGAATGCTGCCGCTGCCTTTGAGACGCGGTTACGCAGCTCACTGTATAGCTGCTACTCAGTCGACATCCCACTCCCAAGGTAGCAGAAGCGGGAGGTGGTTTCCAATACTACAGCACGAATGCTGATTCGCGGCAATATTGACGATTTCATCTCCGGTGAAGGCTGAAAGAGACTTCGCTTGATAACATGGATATATATTCACACACATGGTCCCTTGTATGACCAGGCAGACCGCGCCTGGTAATAAGCAACCACACAGTGAATGGGGAGTGTTCTCGAGGTGGTCGAGAGACTACAGATTGTAATCTCCGACTGCCTATTCCGAGCCGTGGATTCTGTAGTCGGATTAAAATACGATTGCACATCGCACTCTTTGTAGCTGATAAGTTATCTACAGCTATCCTGTTTCCACTCCCTTCCGGAGGGACAGAACCCTGTAAATCATTCATGATGACTAGGGCTCGGAGACAAATGCAGTACGGTGGAATCAATAGTCGGGTAACCGGTACCTCGTATGCTTTCGCGTGAATGCCGGAAGGAAATCAGTAGTTCTGGATGCCTCACGGAACACAGGCGGTGCGTTGCAAAATGCACGGTCATTGCAGTCACTGCCATCTGGCTGCGCGATCTTCCATGGTGAGCTGTTTGAGATCAGTGTTCAGAGATCAGCGTAGTTACAGTAATTGTACAGTGATCTTCCATAAGTTGAAATCTGTCGGTTAATGATGGGCCTAGTGAACAAACAAATGACATGAGTAGATTTGTGCACGGCATTCCGAATATGTGTCCAAGGCGCCTCAACATATGTGAGTAGAGCGCTGTTCAGTAAAGGTGACGAATTTCGAAAGGCACCCAGCTTATTTAAAACAACATATTTGCCTACGTTTAACTGTTCCC